TAAAAATAAAAAGCTATACATTTACATTCATATTTTAATTAAAGGTTTTAGTTGAAGATATAAAAAATGACAGACCACATTTATGAGAAAGATGTATTGCTAGACCAATCTATTCTAACATAACTGGACTTTTTTTTTCTGACAGAGAAGACAGAAGTGGAATTTCCTAGTGGCCCTGGCAATGCTCTTACAAATAATTTCAAAGGAATGTTTTTGCAGATAGGAGCTTCTGGAAAGTCCACTTTGATAGATTGGTAGAGAGAGTTAGGGAATCAGCTGGCTCAGTGTTTTGCCTGTTGCCACAGCAAGAACACAGAGCGCAGGGCCTGGCACACACCAGAGGTGCACATGTGTATGAACATAATGTGTGCCCACCTGCTGAGACTAGGGCTGTGAACTGAGAAAGGAGCTGGTGCCAACCCTAAAATTAGACATGGTTTTTCTGGAAGTTCTAGAGACAAGATGTTTGGCATATTCATATGCCTTAATTATGCAGACCCACTTTCAGGGTTACCTTGGACTCAAGTTGATATGAGGCGCTAAACAGCACCAATGGCTTTTTATTCTATCCTGAAATGTATGTGTTTCTTTACCTATAAATGTAATGGCTTACCTAAAGGAAATATACCCTTTGTGAGAAGCTGACCTGTAACAAGAGGTCTTGCATGGATTTATCTCTGTTCTTTAAGCTGCACACCCCCACTCCTCACCCCAACCATAGTACTAGTATTCTAAAAAATCGCTGGTTAACAAAATTTCAAAGGTGAAACCCGCCTTGGAGATCACTTCTCCCCCCTTTTTCAGATTATAGAACCGCAGCCAGGTGGGGACAAACCAAGGTCATCACAATACTGATAGCTTGGAACCCAGTACCTGGGGTTTTTCACTCTCATTCCCTGTTCTTTCACCTCAAATATGATCTGGGGTGGACTTTTCAAATTAAAAGAAGGAAGGAGGAAGTCTCCTTCAAGGCCACCTTCAACCATGGATCTTGCCCGCATCGTTCCCAAACAGCATACTTCGGCAACCAAGGATTTCATTAGCTTGTTATTGTGGAACTAGAAAGAACCATCCTCACATGGAGCCTGGACTGCAGAACGACTTGGAATGTTTAAAATATGTAAGAAAAAAAACCCACGCCATTCGCATCTGCTTTCAATGATTCACCCCAATATAATTCATGTACCGTTCTAATTCTGCTCTCTCACATCTGCGCTTTCAGAACCCCCAGGCCGGCGAGGGGGGACTAGGAAACACGGGGCGGAAGAGGAAGAGGAAAAGGACAGTAGGGGTTAGGGGGTGGGGTGCGCGACCACACCGGGGAGAGACCACCCGGGAGCCCGAAGGCGGGCGCTCTGCTCCCGCGCGCGAGTCCGGGGGCTGCTGCTCTCCGCACCCCACTTTCACTCTGCTCTCTTTAGCCCTTTAGTGATGCTCCCTCCCACCCACAACGCCCCAAGTTCGGGATGACGGGGAATAGAGGGGGAATCCCAGGACATTCAGAACACTACGTTTCGAAAGATCCAGGGTGGGTGGGTGAGCCGGAGGAAGTCAAGTATGTTAAGGGCAAAAACATCTTAAACCGCCCTCAGCCCTGGGCTCTGCGAGAGTGGAACCCGTGCCTCAGCTCCCAGCGAAGGAGGGGAAAGCTGGGCGGGCGGTGAGCCCAGGACTCCGAGGGGCGCGGCCGAGATGTGGGCGGGAGCAGCGCTGCGACTTCTTCGAGGCCCCGCCCGTCGGACCAACCTCCGCCCAGCCATTGGAGGGCGTCGGGGGCGGGTCTGAGGGACACCCCCCTCTCGCCACCGGCCCCCACCCCTCCCCTGCCCGCCTACGTTTTCGGCTCTTCCTGGAGCCTCTGGAGCCAGAAAAGGAAACACCCTGGGCAGCCACAGAGCCCCCTAGATGCTGGAAAGGCGAGGGGCCTCCCCGGCCCCCCGCAGCCCCACCCACCGGTCTGGTGACGTCACTAAGTGGGGCTACGTGATTCCGCCCCCGGCTGGGGCCCCGGGCCCCCACCTCTGAGTCTGCGGCTTCCTTTGGGACTTGAGGGGAGGGTCCCCATCCTGTGCACACGCTCCACGCGCTCCCCGTTAGCCTCACTCTCCACAGCCCGTCCCACCCCCTTATTTTGCACTTTCTATCCTGCTCATTATCTATGTGCCTCCCAGGGCTGAAGGAGTTGGCGACCCGGAGATGGGCACGCGGGTGGCAGGCTGCCTGAAGAAGTAAATTCGGTTTGCTATCTCCTTAATCCGTTTGCATCTCTACTGATAATTTAATATCCTGTTGTTTTCTCGTGCGTTCTTGGAAGATTTTGTAGAGTCGTTTTCGTGTTTTTTCTCTTAACGGGCTTAAAGTTGGCCTACGCCTTCTTTAGCATTTCATTAATTAAAGAAGCTAGATTTAGGCTTTCCTTGGTGTTGAAGAATGGAAGGAAACCAAAGCCTAACCGCGTTTAGAAGGAAAACAGCCCTGTTTATTTCTCATTCTCAACTCAAGCTGTCGTGGACAGCACCTTGCACAAAGCACAGACGCAGCGCAGCGGCAGAAGCACTTGGTTGCCGCGTAGGCTGCGTCTACACAGGCTTTGTGCCCGAGCATCAAAAGACAGCGCAGGTGTGTGGGGTCTGCGTGTGCGTGTGCGTGTGCGTACGTGAGGGACGTGTGAGTGTATGTGTGTCTGAGCCCAACAATCCCAAGAGATGCGTCCGAAACAAGCCCGCATACTAGAGATTCCTTCGGAAATTTCCTATTGCTCTGAAAATTAGTAAATCTCTAGTATTCGAAAATTGTCTTTGCAGAGGCTCCTTCCTCCGTGCTCTCCCCACCTCCAAAAACAGGTGTCGCTGTGCGTCTTGAAGAGGTCTCTGTCTCGCGGGCTCGGCCTTCCGAGCCCGTGAAGTTCAGCGGGGACACTATCTAGATTTCAGGGCCCGCACAGGTGCTGACCAAACCCCCGAGGCCTGGGAGTGTGCGCGCAATCGCGAGCGGTGTGTGCGGGCAGACACAGAGGGTGCTCGGTTGGACTCCCGGGCGTGCGCGTGGTTGTGCGTGAGTGTGTGCTCACGCGCTCCAGGCTGCGACCGGAGCTCAGCCGCTGGGTTGGAGAAAAAGGGGGTAGGCAAGTGCAGGGGAAGCTGCGGATAAGGGGCAGAGGGGCGCGGAGATTCGAATTAATCGAGCTTGTTAGCTACTTTCCCTCTCCCGCTCCTTTAAATCTTACTGCATCGTAGGGAGGGGGTTGTTTCACTGTGGAGCTGGTGGAGAAGGGGGAGCAGGTTGAAACAATCGAGTGGGCGCGTCAGGTACTCCCTGGCTCCAGGCGGGGAAGGGAGGAGAGCTCCCCCTGCTCTGCGCTGTAAGGGGGCGGGGTTGGGGGCCCCGGGAACCGCGAGAGACGCGGGTGCTCGCAGGGGTGGGGAATTGGTCACCCCAGGCAAGATTTCCTTCGGGTCGCAAATTAATTGGAGATATCTGATTAATTCCAGCTTCGGATGACTATAAATGGCGATTTTCTACCAAGGTGTCGCTATTTTTTTTTTAAATCATTCCGTGTCATCCCCCACGTCAGGCCTGCTCGTGGGCGTGCGGCTGTACTTCCTCCGCCCCCTCCTAATGGAGTGAACCATTCCCAGCTCTTCCCCCTCTCTCCTTCAGTCTCTGTGTATGTGTGTGTGTGTGTGTGTGTGTCTCTCTCTCTCTCTCCCTCCCTCTCCTGCTCCCTCTCTCTCTTCCTTCTCTCCCTCTCTCTCCTCCCTCTGCTTTCCCGGTGCAGAAAGTATCCGTCGCTCCTGGAACTTGTTGGCAATGCCTATTTTTCAGCTTTCCCCCGCGTTCTCTAAACTAACTATTTAAAGGTCTGCGGTCGCAAATGGTTTGACTAAACGTAGGATGGGACTTAAGTTGAACGGCAGATATATTTCACTGATCCTCGCGGTGCAAATAGGTAAGTGGCCGCCCAGTCAGACTCGCGCCGGGTGGCAGGAGGCTGCGGGCCGGCCAAGCCCGAGGCATCAAAGGGTCCGACTGGCCCGCAGCCGTCCCGGGGTGCGGAGAAGCCCCAAACCCCCAAGGGCGGAGGCATCGGTTCCTATGGACTCGCAAGTCCCGGGTTGGTTTTTCTATTAAAAAAAAAAAAAAAAAAAAAAGGAGAGAGACTTCCCAATGTTATCCAGGAAATGTGAGCGACCAGCCGATTTAGGAGGGGATTTTTCTCATATTTTTAACCGAGAACACGTCCATTTTTTTTTCTTCTTCTTCCCTCTCTTGTTTAGACCAGATTTGAGATGTTCTGGGGCAATGCATTGGTCCCTGCGATATGGCAAGGTATTATTTTGAAGGGTGGAAAGGTGATTGCAGCAACAAGATGGCTAGGCAGCTAGAACTGGAAAGTTTATGTGCAGAAAGCAGATATTCCGGGGCCCAGAATGCTGCATTTAGAACTTTGTCATACTCCTGCCACCCCACCCCCATACCCTAGCTGCAGCATTTGCACCGGGCACTGCAGACTGGCTGGGGGTCAGATTGAGAAGAATGTGGAGCCCCAGGGTAGTATTTTAATGTGCTTATCATTGAGGAGGTTAAATATCACCAAATATATGTAAATATAATTTTCTATGAATGTTTGCCTGTTCCTTTCCACAAAGGCATCTGTATTTTACATACAGGAAAGGGTTTAAAAGTGTTTGCAATATGTTATGTTGGGTGTTTGTTATTTTTTTATTTGTTTGTTTGGGGTTATTACAGATGGATTTATGTAGTCCCCATTTTATGTTAAGGAATGTTGAGTCCTAGTTCTGCTGCCATGGGGTTTTAAAAAGTTCACATTTTCCATCCGGAATGAAGTTATGGAAGGGAGTACCAGAAAACCCCCTTCTCTCATGCAGGTCAGAGTATTAATTAAGGTGGCCTAAAAGTGAAAGTGAAGCTGATTATTAAGAGAATGGGCAAGAGAAAAATAGAAACTCTTCAAATGGGGTTTCTGGTCACAGAATATTGTTGAATTCTATCATTTCAAGGCTGTAAATTTCTTTGCAGACAAATCCTTGCAGGATTGGGGCGGGGGGGGGGTCTTTAGGGAATTGGTTTAGGGCAAGAGATAAAATTAATAATATTTTTCTTCATGAGAAATGTGAAGGGAACAGAGTTTGGAGTTATCTATACAATAAAATGGATTCTTTGCAGCGGATTTTACGCATTTGACATGATTTTGAGTACCTGATTTTTTGCATGAACATTATAGGGATTTTAGAGAGTGGGGATGCAGGATGTTGGCGTTTTCCTTTAATTCTGAGAAATGACTTGATGTTTTGAATCTGGCTGTTTGAATCTTTGACATTAGTGCAGAGAACTGCAATAAATAAAGGATATTTCTAATTGCAGCCAAAACCTTAAATATTGGAAATAAGTGAATGTGGAATTTTGCAATTAGCCTGCAAATTTTTAGAGAGTAGGCAGCAGCACCTATTTTGATTGGGGATTTTATTCGGAGAATGTTGGTGCTCTCTTTTCCCGGTGGACAATAACCTTACTGTGTATTGGGGTAGGGAGTAAAAAAGACAGCAATTGTGCATGCGGGATGCGCTTGGAACACATTAACCTCAGCCTGAAAATGACCATTTGTTGGCTGTGGGATTGAATGTGAGCAAATTTGTTCCCGAATATCTGCCCTTTCCCGCACTAGAGCTTCTCGATCTTTATTAATTCATGTCTGGGAGCTTTCCCAAATCATTGACATTTGGCAAGAAAAGTGGGGGTTGGGGAATGAGGGGGAGGAAAGGGTGGTGAACGCAAATTAAGACCCGGCTGGAGGAAGTTTGGAATGAATGAGAGGTCAAACGAATGAATGAACGGGTGGAAAGGAGACAAGGTGCGGACACCCGAGAACGCGGAAGGAGCCGGGCCGGCCCGCCCTAGCCTCTCTGAAGTCGGGTTCAGAAACCACCGCGAGGGTCGCGCGGACTGCGACCTGCGCGAATGCCTGAGCCTGCAAAATACGTCCCGAGCGCAAGCTCCCGGCCTCCCACAGGCAGCTAGAAACCAAGAAGTCTAGTTTCCAAAAAAGAAATGCTCACGACTTCTTATTTTACACATGCACATACTCACACATGCGCGGTATGGAGGGTCTTCTCCGGCAGAGCCTGGAAAGATAACGTGACCGGAGAGCTCCCCGCCCCCAGCAAACCCCAGCTCCCCTTTAAAATTGTGTCAATATGTTTTAAGGGCTACTTTTTTTGCTATCGCGTTTGGAGGGTGGAGGTAAAGGATAAGAAGAGCCGGGGATTTGGTGGGAATGGATGGAGTGTATTTTATTTCGTCTCTTCGCTGCAAAACTGCATCTGTGGCGTGCATTATAGAGGACAACGGGTAGGATTTGTTTCACTGTGATCGTGTTCCTATGAGAACCAACATTTCGTTTATTCTCTCTCAGTATTCTACCTGATATTGCAGTCGCATGGGCTTTCCATATTTCGCTTGACGGGGGCAGGGGTTGTCTGTGAAGGTTTACTTATGGCCTGAGCCGAGATCGAAGTTAACCTTAGCCCCTTCCCCAGAGCTTCCCGTTCCGGATTAGAGAGCGCAAGGCCCGCCTTGCTTCTGCAGCAATTTGCAAACGGTGCTCTTGCAGGCTGCTGCAGGTTGGGTCACCTTCCCCCTGGTCTGCGTCTAGTGGGGCTCAAGGGGACCAGCGGCCAGGGAAGGGGGATGGGGGTACGGTCCTCCCCCGAGACATTCACACTCTAGCCGCAGCGGCGTGAAATATCTTGGGCATTTTAGGCCAATTTCGATTCTGAGAAGATTCGCCTGTTCTTTCCCCTCCCCTCGCTCCAACAGCGAAGATCTGCGCTTCTTGCACGACCTCCTGGCGCCCTGAGTGGTTTTGGCCTTTCGCCATCCAACGTTTATCCGGGTTCTTTGGCCTTGAAATGGAGAAAAATGGCCAAGGCAGCGCGTCCGCGGTCTGGAGCCTGTCTCTGCCTCTTTCAGTTCTCGCACCGCAGGGTTTGACCGACCTGAGGCCAAGAGCGTGGACCTCAGATCGGCCTGGATCTCCTCCCCTCCTCCTCCAGCACTAGGGTCCCTCCCGCCGCCCGCCGCTCTCCCCGCCCCCTCTCTGGAGGGAGTGGGAGCCGGAGGCCCGTAGCCCGGGGCGGCAGCCGCCCTGGCCCTCAGCTGCCCTGAGCCTGGAGAGGAAAGGTCCCACCCTGCTCCTGGCTAGAGTGGTGACCATTGGGGGACGGGGAGAAACAGGGGAGTGAAAGTGGGGGGGGATATAGTAGTCAAGACAGTATGGTACTGGCATAAAAACATAGACAAATGGAGCAGAATGGAGAGCCCAGAAATAATCCTGGCTAGAGTGGTGACCATTGGGGGACGGGGAGAAACAGGGGAGTGAAAGTGGGGGGGGGAACAGGAAGCGGGGGGCCCAAGGCCCACGGATTTGGCCTCCACCGAGGTGACGCAGGGTCACCCGCACAGACACATTCATGACTCTGCAGGGCCCAGACTGCCCCGACCACCATCACCTCGCCTAGCCCCAGGCGCCCCGGCTGCTCTCTGCGCAGGAAGGATCTCCCTGGGAAAACAGTCCGCGCGGTGTTCTGGTGGCCGCTGGTGGCTGCCAGAGATTTTACTCATTTATTCAGCAGTGATTTATTCAGCAGTGTTGCTGAGCGCCCACCAAGGACTTGGGTGCCACGGCCAGGCTTTTCACGTGGCATAGCGTCAGGTTCCACTGCGTGGCCCCGTGCTGTGTCACCTCCACCCCTTCCTCACCCCGCTCTCTGCTGTGAGCCCCCGCTGTCACCTCAGAAATGGAAGGCTGCGCTCCCAGAGCCGGGAGGGCTTGCTGGGGAAGTGTTGGGAAACAAGGAGGGAGGGAGTAGAAAGAGAAACATAAAGGAGAAAAGGGAGGTGAGAAGAGTGGACAGTAGGAACGGGAAAGAGAGAGATCGAGATGCAGGAGGAGCTTCGGGACAGGGAGAGCCTCCCTACGGGGCCACCCACACCTGCAGACACGACAGCCTGCAGAAGGCGCCTAGGTGGGTGCAGGTCGTTCATTCGGGATCGCATCTTTCATTCCACCTTTCACTCTGGCGCACAGGGACCAAGCCACGCCGAGTTGGGGGCAGCGGGCGGGGGGGCTGCCGAGCGGGATCTGGGCGCTGCTGACCGGTGTCCCCTCCTCCCCGCAGCGTACCTGGTGCAGGCCGTGAGAGCAGCAGGCAAGTGCGATGAGGTCTTTAAGGGCTTTTCAAACTGTTTGCTCAAGCTGGGCGAAAGCGTGGCCAACTACCCGCAGGGCCTGGACGACAAGACTAACGTCAAGACCATGTGCACGTAAGTGTCCTCCCTGGCCTGCTAGGCTCCTATTCCGGGGGGCGCTGCTGGGGTGGGAGATCCGTGGCGACGCGAATTTGCGCATTCTCACCTGCTGGCTCCCACCCTCAGGCCTCGGCAGGGCCTGCGCCGCCCAAGGGGACGCTGTAGCCTGCAGTGGGCAGAGGAGGATCATTCGGCGGAGGCCCAGTCCAACACAGAGACGTGCTCATCCTCCGCGCTGAAACCAGGGCGAGGGGCAGCGAGAGCGAGAGCGGCTGCCAATTCCTCCCTGTTTGGAGCAGTCTTCCTCAGTCTTTGCTTCTGAATGAGAGGCCTGCCCAGTACCCTACAAAGAATAGTTTTGGTTTCAGGGGAGGCTTAGGTAATGATACATTTGCCTAAAAGGAAAGTCTCTCCCCTATTTTGTCCATTTCCCCTGATTAAAACTCTCCCCTCAAGTGCACATCAAGAAAGCTGGGGTGCAGGCAAGGGAGCACTGGGCCCCCTTCCTCTTTCTGGGAAAAAGAGTGAGAGGATATTTTGTTTCCTGCCAATGACTTTGCCCAAGAAGAATGTGTTCTGGTCATCTAGTGACTGTTGAGTGTGTAGTAATTTGCTAGGTTTAGGGTAGTCACCCTCCATGGTTTTTTTTTGTTGTTTCCCTCTTTCTTGGTCTACAATGTAGACTCTACATGTATTAAAAGGCCAGGGCGGTTAAGGGTCCAAGGAGCGCCATGAAAGAGTTCGTGGCCAGGCTCAGTGACATTTCAGCTGCTGCAAACCTTGGAAATATCCCTATCCTCTGCAATAACACACACCTTATTTTATTTTTCAAAAACAGATGTGATACCCCCCTCATAACGACCCTTTCAATAAAGTCAAGGCAATGGGTATTCCTTGTACCACAGAGGTTGGAGTGACCATTTGCTGTACCACCTTTTTATACTGTGAAGTCCTTCTCTCTAATTCCTGAGGGGTGGCGGGTGTATTTAAATTATGAGTAATTAAACAGGAGTCAATTTTGCTATGCATTTTCCTAAATATCCAGATACCCACTAGGAGCCACAGCAGCTAAGTAGCTGGTACCTTCCTATCAGGAAAAGGATAAATGTTTGGGTCTGGGATGCATACCTACCTATTGTAATTCCAAATATCTGGTGCTAGGTAAGATTACATCTATTCACAATAAAAGGTTAAATATAGATCAGCTCCCAAATGCTCCATCATTTGCCACAACTTGGTTATTCCAAGTTATTTGAGTTTATTTTGCAAGGTTTGGTCCTGAAAAATGGAAATGAGGAGGGCCCCTCCAGAGGTCACAGGCCACAGCTGGGTTGAGGCTCTCACTGAGTTGGTGCACTGGGTGCTCCACAATTCCTTTCAGTCCCACCTGGACACCTGACCCTTTCCACCATGCCTCTCTCCCTCTGGGCAGGGCTTGTTCCCATCTGGGCATAAAGAAAGGAGGGAGTTAGACTCCCTTTGGGAGGTGCCTTTTTTTTTTCAGAGAACTGTGCCTCCACATCTTAGGTTTCTCAAAGCTTGCTATTTTTTTTCCAGCTGAGGAACCTAGAAGCCCTACACCCCAGAACCATTACCACCACCACCACCACCCCCCATTATAAATTAGAGACTCTGGGAGGTCATTAGAGAACACCATAGCTCCAGGCAATCCAACAAGCATTTTAACTTGATTATTTGCCAGAAGATGGTGAGGGAGTGGAAACAAGGATAAATCAAACATAGTGCCTGCCTTCAATGTGTTTACAGTCCAGGCTAGAGAGCAGAAGGAAGGGATAGGAGACAATGCAACCAAACTGCGCGGTCTGTGGTCACTGGTGACCTGGTCTCAGGGCCCCTTGAGGTGGAAGCCAGCGGAGTTATTGAGGCACAGATCGACCTGCACTGAGAGGAGACAGCGCCCCAGGAATCGATCACGGGTTGGAATTATATTTAGGCTTGAGATCTATTTTGGGTTTTCAGAAGAAAGGGGGACAATAAATAAGGACAGGTTGGATGAAGGTTGTGGGGGCGGGGCTAGGAACTGAGTCCTGGGGGAAGAAGGCGCCGAGGGAGGTGCCAGGCTCCGGAAGAGGCCGGAAGGGAGGACGAGGAGCCCGGTGTCACAAAGGTTGGCAACCTTGGGCCCCGCGCCAGCCCTGGAGTCCTGGCCTGGGGCTGGGCACTATCCTCAGGCTCTGGGGAGGAGGCCTCACGGGATCCAAGTCCAAGAAGAAGACTGGGGGGCGGGGAGAGAAGAGGTGCGCAAGAGAGACTAAGTGCGCAAGGGGGAGCACAGAGGTTTGCAAAAGGTAGGTGTGGAAAGCTGGCCCAGGGCCTCGGGCACCAACACTCCCCTACCCGGGAAGGGGCGAGGCAAGCCCGAGCTTCCTGACAGAATCTGAGCTGGGGGACTGGAGAGCAACGGGAGGAGCCACGGAGGACCGAAGCCAGTGAGGATGGGGAAGCAGTGAGGAACTGAACCAAGGAAAACCGAGGGGAGGTGGAAAGGAGGAAGACAAAGGAGGTTAGAGGGAAGAAGGAAAATAAAAGAACGGGAGACCCAAGGCAGGGAGAGGGGAGAAAGGGCGAAAACGGGGGTGGGGTGGGGGAGAGTAAGGCAGTGCCTGGAGGGAGACAGACAGCAGGGGAGGAGGGGTGGGAGGAGAAAGTGAGAAGCCCAGCGGGGAGGGCTGCGCCAGGAGCCAGTAACCCTTCTTGCAAGCTAAGAGGCATTAATGGGCGGCAGCTTGCAAGGCTTAGCACTGTTTTCCTAGCTTCCCCCGAGGAGGACGAGCAATCTGTTGGCGCAGGCCGAGGTGCCAGCTTGGCGCAGCCGGTGAGGCCCCGGCTCCTGACTGCTGGGTCCCCGCCGGGCACCCGGGAGAGAGACCAGACCCGGAGCGGGGAGGCCCTCTCCTCGGGCCGCAGCTGCTAGGGTGGGCTGGGTCCGGCGAGGGCAGACCTCGCAGGGCCCAGGCGCCAGGGCGGTGGAGGAGAGGGAAGGAGGGGGCACCCGCGGAGGCTGGTGACGCCGAGAGCGCTGGGCGCACGGGCACAGGCCCCGGGTCCTTCCACGCGCCTAAAGTGAACCTGCTTCTTCTGTTTGTTCTGTTCCTCGCCAGATACTGGGAGGATTTCCACAGCTGCACGGTCACAGCCCTTACGGATTGCCAGGAAGGGGCGAAAGAGATATGGGATAAACTGAGAAAAGAATCCAAAAACCTCAACATCCAAGGCAGCTTATTCGAACTCTGCGGCAGCGGCAACGGGGCGGCGGGGTCCCTGCTCCCAGCGCTCTCCGTGCTCCTGGCGTCTCTCTCGGCAGCTTTAGCGACCTGGCTTTCCTTCTGACCGCGGGGCCGGCTCCCCCCTCGCCCACCCACACTCACTCCATGCTCCCGGAAATTGAAAGGAAGATCCATTCGTTCTTTGGGGACCCTGTGATTCTCTGTGATGCTGAAAACACTCATATAGGATTGTGGGAAATCTTGATTCTCTTTGATTTCGTTTGATCTCTTGTGTTTTATTTGCCAAATGTTACCAATCAGTGAGCAAGCAAGCACAGCCAAAATCGGACCTCAGCTTTAGTCCCTCTTCACATAACAATAAGAAAATGATAAACCCACCCCATTTTAAAAATTTTTATTTTTTGGCAAAAGAATCTCAGGAATGGCCCTGGGCCACCTACTATACTAATCATGTGAATACATGACCAATGACGGGCTCCTCCTAATAGGAAAGAGGAGAGGAGAAGGCCAGGGGAATGAGTTCAGGAGAGATGACCACGAGGGAAGCATATGGTGAATAATTCACGTTCACATCTTTCTTCCACAGTATCTTGTTTTGATCATTTCCACTGCACATTTCTCCTCAAGAACAGTGAAAGGACAGATTGTTGGCTTTGTGTTTGAAGGATCAGAGGCAGAGAGGAAAAGAGCTGGGGAACTCCCGGGTTAGAGGTAAAGGCTGCTGGAAGAAGTGCTGCTCGAGTCACTGAGAGGTTCAGCTTTACCTGCTGTTATTGATGCATCTTTCCAAGTCCAAGCCTTTCTTTCCCCTCCTCTCTTGTTTTAGCTGTTACACATACAGTAATACCCGAATATCCACCGGTGTAGATCACAAGGGGGGAGTGTTCAATGTTAATCTAAAATATAGTTTAAAAAGATTTTGACATAGAGAGCCTTGATTTTAAAAAGAGAGAGAGAGAGAGATGTAATTTAAAAAGTTTATTATAAATTAAATTCAAGCAAAAAAAGATTTGCTACAAAGTATAGAGAAGTATAAAATAAAGTTATTGTTTGAAATGGGGGCGTTGTCTGTTTCCTGTCCAAGGCCTGCTGTCTTGGCAGCGTTCTCAGAGGTCCCGGAAGGGACTCATGAAGCCAGGGGATACATTCACCCGTCCACACGCCACTCCGTCACCTGTCATCTCAAGCAGGCCCCCCTCAAGTAGGACATTGCAATTTCTCAGAAATCCCGTTTACTCTAAGGAGAGAAATCCACGCAACAGCAGAGATCCTTTCTGGGTAAGGGCTTGGGGAGTGTGTGCGCTCCTCTGAGAAAGCGCGCGCAGACCGAATGCCAGTGGCCGGCCCTCAGCCCCCTTCCCTGCAGGCCGGGCCTTAACCGCGACTCGCCTCTTCCTCTGCGGTGGCCCGGGCAGCTCGCGAAGGAACCGCCATTAAGGGCTCTAACGGAGGGGCCGGGAGGCTGTGGTCACTGGCAGGGATCAGGTGAATCCTTTCATAATTAATATGACAGCTCAGCCGAAATGGCGAGGAGACAGGGCCCTATTGATCAGGCAGTAGAGCTGCTTCCACCTCTCCTATTTATAGGCCCCATGGCCTTACCTAGAAGTAAACATTCGAGAGTGAGCAGGGGCTGAGGGAACCGGGTCCAGGGCTGCGGTACTGCAGGCTGGGGGAGGGAGAACCACATGCATGTCTGGGTTCAATGAAATCAAAATCTGATTTCCTGGAGAAGGTGCAGGTGGGAGGGAGCTGCGGGGTCCCCCGGGGTAGCGGGGGGTGGAGGGAGGGAGACGTGCGGAAGGAGGCGGAGGAGGCTGCGGTGGGCTCCCGCGCCCTGGAGCCTGCGGACCGCCGCCTGGAGCGTGCGCTGGGCTCTGAAATGCAATGCGTAAACAATCGCTAGTGCGAAAGTTCATAAATCAAACCCAGCGGGTCACAGCCCAATCTGCATTCTCCCCACGGATTGAATTCCTGCAACACATGTGTCCCAGCGCCCGGAGCGCTGGAAGCCGCGCGGGTTCCTAATGGCCGCATACATTACCGCGGCCCCGCCACGCACGCGCCGCGCCCGCCGCTCCTGGAAACAGCTCCCCCGCCTCCTTCGATCCCCGATGCTCAGTCAAAACCGAAGGAGATCCACGCACCGGGAAACTCTTGTTGTTTTGATCGTTTCGTTGCAGGGATTATTTTCAGTATTTTCCGTCTAAGTATAAACAGGACTATTCTAACCCCAGCTAAACCCTGCAAATCAAGCTAAAACGTCTGAGCCTGTTTTAATTACGAATCTATTAAATGAGGGGGCGGAGAACGAGGAGGAAGAGGGAGGGTCTTCTCCCGTCAGTTTTGCCCGAATAGCGCGCAGCCTCCCATCGGAATCTTTCCCTCCGCAAACTGGAGAAGAGCCGGTGCGCACAACTAGGCCCCTTGTTGGCCAAAGAAACTGCACGCGTCGTTCCCCCAGGCTCCCCAGTGCGGGGCGGGGGAGGCGTGGAGAGGGGAGAGACGTCCCCGACCCTGGTGGACACCCCTTCCCTCCCAGCGCGATCTTCCCACCCAGAAATCAATCTCCTTCCACTGGAGGCGAGGCTGAGGGAGGGCGCAGAGCGACGAGGGGCGGGGATTGGGAGCGCCAGCTCAGCTCCTCTCCCCACGGGGTTCTTCTCAGGGAACCCCTTCCTCTCGGCGGCAGCCGCCTCCCCAGTGGGGTCGCCCCACAGGGAGGGCGCCCCGCTGCCGGGTCCTTCCATACCCCAACTCTGCCCAGTCCCAGATCGCCCGGGGGAGCTTCGAGAGAGCTAGGCGTCCTGTCCCGGGCTCCCTCGCCCTGCCCTAGGCGGGGACCAAGCTCACGGGTGCTGGGAGAAAGCCCAGGATCGCTGGGCAGCCAGTCACAGAAACGCAGTCGGAGAACGTTTCTTCTTTCGGTGATTGTTTTAGGTTATTATCGCGCCGTCTTCGGCTGTAATTTGCTGTTTAACCACGATGACATCTCCATATGTTAGTTGAGGTTATTGTTTTTAAGCAGCAGCGCGGTAAGCTCAGAGAAATATTAACCACGTCCCATCACGGAGATGGGGGGAGGGGGGAGGAGCAGGCACCAGAGGAAATCATCATACCTGCCTCCGCCCAGGTGGGAGCAGTCTCCATCTCTGCCCCTAGGGCCCTTTGAGATTGGGGAAGGGCCCCACTCTACTCCATCTTCTGCCCAGTGGATGGATTCGAAACAAATTAATTTGAGTGTAATGTTTGGTTATCCTCTGAAGTTGTCCCAGAAGCCAGGTCCACAGTCCCATGAAGAACTCCAGGGCCCTTGGGAGGGGCTTACAGGGAAGGAGGAGAGGAGAGAGAAGGAAGGCGACAGGGGGGGGTGGGGGGCGGGACAAATCCAGGAGCAGAGTTAGCAGAGGGGGATGAGGACGAACTTCCAGCTGGAGATGACTGAGCTGTGGACAAGAGGTGGGGGATGGTGGTAGAACTGGAACTGATTTTCATTCAGGACTCTCACAGAAGCAAATGAGCACTAGGACCACCACCTAGATTCTCCTTCTGTGGTCCAGAGGTCCTTTCACTCCAGCCTGAGCCTTCAGGCCACAGGGGCACTTTGAAACTAGGGGAAATCAGGTGGATGGGCGAGAAGAGGAACCCTTCCCCAGACC